TTTGATTCGTCAGAGTTGGAGAGCAGAAAATTGAAAGTTTTGACCTAGAACCCATATTTTTCTATTTTTTCTTTGTTGCTGCTTCAGGCATAAAAATTAGACAAGCTTCTTTGCGCTTGCCAGGTATTGTGTATCAGTTGTAGTGGACTTCCCCTCAGGGTGAACTCAGACCAAGGTACACACTTCACAGGTGAAGTAATGAAGGAACTGTGGAAGACGCTAGGCGTCAAAGCCAACTTCCATATTGGCTACCACCCACAGGCTTCAGGCCAGGTTGAGAGAGCAAACAGGACTGTGGTGAGTATTTTGAAAAAATACGTAGCCGCAAACCACAAGGACTGGGACGTGAAACTCCCTCTGGTCCTCATGGCCATAAGGGCCACTCCACACACGTCGACTGGCATCTCTCCTTTCGAGATGATGACGGGTCGACAAATGACTCTCCCTCTACACCTGTTGTACCAACCAGGCGATGCTGCCATGGCAACAGCCTACACTACACAACAATACATGAAAGACTTGGAAAGACACCTTAAAAACACTTTTGCTTTCGCACAGAAAAACCTGGAAAAATCAGCTGAAGGACGCAAAGCGTACTACGACCAAAAGGCCTCTCACGAGGAACTCCAAGTGGGAGACAGGGTCTGGTACTACACGTTTGCCCCCAAAACTGGGAGAAGAGAGTCCGGGACCGGAACTCTCGCCCGTAAGCTGATGCCCAGATGGACTGGACCCCATCTGATAATCGACAAAGTGTCTCCAGTTGTCTATCAGATAAAAATCAGTAAAGGCCAAAAAGAGCCAACTGTTAAATGGGTACATCGAAACCAGGTTAAACCGCACAAGGCGTGCAATAACTCCTCAGGAGACAAAGATCTCACAAAATCTGACCTCGTGGGAATAAGGGTCATCCAAGCAGAAGATAACTAATGGATAAGAAACTTAACCATAGTTTGAATTCACAGGACCTACCCTTGACCACTACGAAGCTAAGACCTATCTCTTTGTGTTTCCATAGGACAATGATGGTACCACTCCTGGTAATCTTCACCCTCTTGGGTGCCACCCAGGAAATCAAAGCCCTCGTAATAGCGGTAAATGAGTTAGCCCTTAAGGTTGAAGCGGATTACGCTGTCGCACACCTAATGGATAGGATTTTTGCTGACATGCTTAGAGATATCAGTTCGTCGGTAGATACACTAGCCACCAGTAGGATCCCACCGTATCTAGTCTCTCTACAGATGGTGAACGACATCCTCAGCTCCGCTACGCACGAAAAAGTTACGCAAACACAGGCACACCTGGCTTACACTCTCGGTAGCGCAATCCCAATCTACGTCAATCACAAAACATTTGAAATGGCGTTCATTATCAACCTACCGATAATTCCCTCAAACGGCATATATAGACTCAGGGACGTCGTAAATGTTGGCAATTGGCACGGCGAAAACCATGTTCAAATTGACACACCAAGGATGGTTGCGTACCACGACGACAACCCCTCAGTTTACCTAGCTCCAAACCTGCAGATGTGTGTTCTCACTCGGGAGATACACTATCTGTGCCCGAGCAAACCGTTTATGTGGAATAAAACCGCGGGCATATGCGGATTAACACCTATTCCGGAAAATTCTAAGTGCTCAACGACCGTAACGCCTCGACACCTGGCTAAAGATGCAAAAGCGGAAATAATTGGCTCTCGTTGGCTAGTGAACGCTCCTCAAAGAAAGGCGATCATAGCCTACGACCAACCCGGGGCAAATAGACCTTTGACGTTACCGGACAAAACAATGTGGATCAGTGTTCCCCAGGGAACAACCATACACATGGGTGATTTGACGCTCCATCACCTCGATCCGGAACGATGGGACGCGACTCTGGATGACTCAGAGTACCTGGGAAATATGTCTATAGACATAGATCCAGAGACTCTGGGAAGGATCCGTTTTGAAGGCACCCAAGTCGTCGACGTGGAACCAATAAACCGAGTTCTCAAGTCCCTCAGGTCCACAACTAAGAACCCGATCCAACCAATTACCTATGCGTGGTCGAGCGCGGACACATTAATCATAGCCCTGCTAATGACGATAACCCTCGTATTGTGTGGGATACTCGCATCCCTGTTCCGGGGCCAAACGTCACTCCGAGTCGACGTGGATCGCCATGCAGCGCACCTCGATATGATTATGCCTCGCGTAAGCGGGTCCGCAAAGAAGCCACTCACACGGGACAGCGTGACTGAAACTGACAACCAGGGTGAGGGGAAGCAGTGAAACGATGTTTCTAGATGCTTAGTCACTACTCTTGTCGGTGTTGAAACGTTGTTTAGTTGATTTTGGTTGTTTCTGTGGTAAGAATGTATCTTGTGTGTAAGTTAAGTTAGAGACTAAGAGGCCTTTAACCATGCCAACATGCAGTTCATTCGCTAAATTGCAATCCTTGCGGAGTCAATGTATATTATTGTTACCTTAAGTACCATAATCTACATTGATCTCACATCGCTTAAGCCGAACCTACTCGAACAATTCTATTCGGGGGGGATAGCTAATTCTTTTTGATAAGTCTCGCCATAGACTTCCAAAACGTTTATGGGGAAACCAAACACCCAATCTCAAGTCGTTCGTCTAAAAGACAACAGACATTTGAACCAAACTATATTTTGCCATGTAAAGCTAACTTAACCCAAGTTAGAAATGGAAAAGTAGTTTGGAACCCTTTTCTATAGGCTTAAACCCCTGTAGTTACCCCTTTTCAGCATGCTCCACCCCTTAACTGGTAGTCGTAGCTGTTCCCAACCATAATAGCTTACACACCAGGTGCATATAGTTTAAGGCCTTATGTAAAATCACCTTCATAAGCCCACCTTAAACCACATAATTGCATGACACATTGAACCAGAACGACACAGGCTGGACGTCGCTGGAGACAACCTTCGCTGGAGGCGACCTGCAATCCCGACGTTGGTCTCCACTCTTCATCCAGTGGCCGCTTCTTCAGTTCAACCCAAGGGTACCCCTCTGTATGCTGATTAATCAACACTTCCAATCGTTGTGGATTTACCATTGTGGATTATATGACTTTTTCCAATGGATTACAGACTCTGTTTCCAAGGGGTTAAAGCATTGCTACAATGGAATTATCGAGACGATATGGGATTATAATCAACACAATGGAATTACCAAGAACATTGTGGAATTACCTTGACTTTTGTTTTCCTTGCTGGATTACTTTTGACTTTTGTTTTCCTTGCTGGATTACTCTTGACTCTTGTTTCTTTGCTGGATTACATCAAGCTTCAAGGACAATTGACGGCGTAAGTCCATAGTTGGAATTCATCCCCATGGACAGGTGTTGATTTCCAAAGGGGGGACTGTAGTGGACTAGGCCCATGTCAAAAACTAAGTCTAAGGTCAAAAATCTTGACCTTAAGAACCTTGTGGGACAGGAACTGTCATTTCATTCATTTGAACTCAGAAATACAGGTTCACCCATCCTGAGACTTTCTTTCTTGAAGATTCAAGTGAAAAGAACACTCTCTTTTTATTATCATTACTATTTTACAAATGTTGATAATCAAAGTGTCTTAGTTCAAACCATTTTAGATGTGGCAGTGAACTAATCAATTTTATTAACTGTGTAATGATTTTTATTCTCATGTCAAAGCTGTAACAGAATAATTATGCATTTTCTGATTTCTGCCTTTGAGTGAGCAAGTGTGCGTTTCCAAGGTTGGAGTCAAACGAAAAACAAGTTGTTGAACGAACTGTCATGTTTTTAGAATCCTCTCAGACGTAAATAGAGAAGTTTTAGCACCTGTTTCTGAAACGCGCCAAAACAAAACTCTCTCTGTCTGTGAGAACATTTCTGATCTGTTTCATAACAATTCTCGCTGTCTCTAACCTCTTACGTCACAAAACACACCCCGTCTGGTCGGTTCTGACCAATGGTAATACTCCCAAAAGTGAACCGGGAAACAGCTCTTTAAAATGTCAGTACTTCCTGGTCTACTCGGTTTTGGTTCTGTTGAAGTTCTGATGGAGTGCTGTTGGAGTCTTGGTTCTGTTGGAGTTCTGCTGGATACACAGTCCAACCAGTTCTGTGAGAGACGGGATGATCCTGACAACAGAGCTCTTCCGAGTTCCATGGGATTATAACATTTTCCACTGAGGTGAATATGTGTCGAACAGAGCCTCGCCATTACTTCGGACGAGTAACAGCATCCTACTGAGACGCTGAAAGGGTGCGTTAAACGGAATCTCACCTGAGACATCTCCAGGTAAAGGAGCCGATTTCATCACCTAAGTGTACTGTAAGGAAAAGCTGAAGAAAGCCGGAGAGTGTCGATTCTGGTGAACACATTTCACCCCTCACACACCATCTTACTCCCTCTAAACTTCTTTCCATCTTTAAACTTTTCTATCAAGTAGAAATTCTTCCAGATATTTTAGAAATGTCTGTGTAAAATGCTCACCCACATTCATGTGGGTAAAAGATCATAGTTGTACAGTATTCATAAATGTCTGTGGTGAAGCAACGGAAAAATCATGGCCGTATGATTTTTCCTGATTGATTGCTTATGTTGTTATTTTCATAATTTGCCAAATTAATGTAAATGTTTGATGTTAAATTTTGATTCTGTAAATAAATGACCGCATTCATTTTGATGGGTCAAATATAAATGACATCTCACGTTTGCATTTCCTTAAATTCAATGCACGTTTTATTCAGTCCAGAAAAATGAGGAATCCGTGTTAAATGATGAATATATCTGAGCATCTGTTCATCTACACAGTCTACAGCTTCCCAGTCATCTCTGACTGGGAATATCATGCAGACGTCACTGATCCTGATGCACAAAGTTGATCAGAAAGCTGAACATTCCTCGAGTATAACTTCTTTGTGATGTGTTGTGCAGAGAATACCAAGAAATACTTTTGATCTTCACTTGGTCGTATTTCTGAAGATTTTGCAAAACTCATCAAAGGAGAAAAAAATCTGAATGACACCTTTAACATCATATTTATTGTTATTTAGTTACTCAATAAAACATATACAGATATATACAATATGCAGGAAAACAGACGACTGCACTTTACATATTAATAAAAAAAAGAAAACGATAACAAAAAAAATCTGTTTGTAAATTGCCGTCACAGTCCTCCATTTATTGTTCGAGAAGTTCAAAGTCAACAGAAGCTTTATTTAAAGGTTACAAGATTGCCTAACACACAGCAAATTTTCTCTTATTATACATGTGCAATACCAATAATCTTTTTTATTTTATTTTCCATTTCAAACAAACCCTTGATCACCATTTTTTTTTAAGTTCTCATTGGCTGAATTGTATACAAGTAGCTCACAAGATGGATAGCAGAAGAAAAAAAGCAAAAGACAATGAGGGAAAAAGTGTTCTAGCAGAACAGCTGAAAGCGAAATACAGGTTTCATCTCTGGGAGCAGAAATAATAATAATAAAAAAAGTTTAAAACTGTCTTTGACAAAAAGAAAAAGTGTGTTCACAAGGAAACTGCTGTTACATTCATGCATACTTTCTCCTCTGCTAGTCGTCTTCTGGGTCTGCTTCTTAGTGTTCTGGCAACTTTTGATAAACCTGCAGGCCCTGTCTCACTGTGGGCTGCAGAATACGAGCGTGTAGAAGCATTTTGGCCTGGAAATGGTGAAATTTCCTGGCTGCAAACTGGTAACTGAGGTAAGGGCAGACAGGCTAATTTAACAGAGTAAAAGCCATGAGGTTGCAGCACAACACACCCTGCTACAATAAAAGCCAATGAAAACTGACATCTTGTCTTTGCCTTTATGTTTCCTTTAACATTAATTTTTCTTCAACAAAGGAATTAAAAGAAAAAGAATGGATTTGAGGTTCTGAAAGGAAGAAAAAAAGACATTTGAGTCTGCTTTTAGGTGTGAGTGTATGGTGTAAGTACGTTCATGTTTGAGTGTAGATGCCCCTCGCCCTGAACAGGCAGGGGCTGCAGACATCAGTCTCATCAATAGATTCTCATCGTTTTCATTTATTCTTTTCGTCTCTGAGGTTGTCTTTCTGTTTTTCTAAATCTCCGTCCTTCTTTCTCCAGGCCCGTTTCTTTTTCTTTCCTTGTTTTTGATCAAGTCAGAGCTGCGACAAACGTCCCAAAACGATTCGAGATATCAGAATGGAGCGAGCGCCAAGAGGAGACGGGGCCCCCTCGGCCTTTACTGTCCCCCAACTCATCAGTGCAGTGGACGGACAGGCACTGCAGGTGGTTCCCGCCGCTGCTCCCACCTCCTCCACCTCCTCCTCCAGCTCCGGTGGTGGCAGCTCCAGCCTTACTCTGGGAGAGCTCTGAATCTGCAAACAAGCACAGAGGGGGGGAAAAGGGGAATTAGGACTTTTGCAAAAAAATAAAAAATAAATGAAAACAGAGAGAGAAGCAACTTTAAGCAGCTGGCATTCGCTGATACAGATGAATCATTTAAAATACACACATTTAATTAAACCAGTGTCATTTTCACATCCCACTCTAAATCTGCACTGTGAAATTAATTCAACACCCTTCCACCCTCCACCCCCCTGCCATCGATAAGACCCAAATAGGAGCCTGTAAGCAAAGCTTCCTCTCCTCACAGTCCACCTCCTCACTCACAGCCTGATATAAACATGTGAAACACACAACACACAAGCTAGCATGCAAATCTGCAACACCCCTGCACAACCTCCCATCTGTGAGTCAAGGGGCACGAAGAAAAGTGACCTTTGACCCTGCTTGGCCCAATTTACTGCTATAATGACTGTGACGCAGTATCGACCTCGTGTCAGCAAGGTGTGGAGTCCTCTATTAAAGGGTTGCAGAAAATCCATACTGAGGTTGATTATACATCATACGAAAACATATTTATATGAGCGCATGCTGACGCCTAACATGTATGCTTTATGTGTGAGAAGATTGACAAATGTGCTAACCTCTACCTACGAGTGTGTGGTCACAATTCATCACGTCTTTCTGTCAAGGTACAAACTGTGGCAAAAAAAAACAAAAAAAAAAACAAGATGAATAAATAAATAAATAAACAGAATATTGAAGTTTTAAAGAAAACACAAGACGTTGAAAAAGGGAGGAGAGACTAGACAAGATGTAGCGGTGCGGCGTTATAAGGCAACTGTAGCGATGCATCGTGCGCTTTGGGTTGTGCCTCCAAGCGAGCCCCGAGCCAGAGAGAAGATGCATGTGAAGATGTTAGAGATCCTTCGTTTACATCAGTCCGATTAATCCTCCATCTCCTCGGCACACAAAACGCACCAGTGCCTTGCTCCGTGTGGATGGTTGAAACAAATCAGATCAGCTGCGCAAAGACACAAAAGCTTTTTGAGGATCAGGGACGAGTTGGTGTCTGAACCCTGAGACAGGTGGGAAACAGCTCTGACAAGCTGAGTTACATGTGTCGGGGGGGTGGGGGGCTGTGATAGATGACAGTCTGGGCACGGAGGCCCAAGATCACAACACCAGTCAGGGTGTTGCTCACCTAAGAGAAAAGCTAACGTTCGTGCTTGTATCCTCCTCCTCCTCTGCTGTTTTTATCTTCCTCTGTCATTTCTCCTACAAAGCTCGTGGCAGCCGTCATACAGTTTGATTAAAATGCAACGAGAAGAAAAAAAGCTAAGCCAGGCTTGACTCGACCAAGACGTCAGGACAAGGAGGCAGATTTGCACGAACCGAGGCAGCATCTCCCCCCCCCAGCTAGTCTGGGCTGCGACCACTGGAATGGAAAAGTGAGGGGATTTGGTGAAAGGTCAGGTGGCCAAGCCTCCCCGTTGTTCTCCGTTTCATCCGCTCCTATCACCCTAGCTGTAAAATTCCCTCCATTTTCCTCCCCAGAACCTGGAGCCCGTTGAAAGCGGGGGCTGTCGGTGGCAGAGATGGGGATTTTAGAGCAGCGTTGGTGGCGGCTGTGACAAGATCTCACATTTGCCAGAGGGTACAGTCATACACCTCAGCATGGCTGATCTCCACCCCCTGCCAGTTTTGCCACCCCCACCCCCTCACACCCCCTCTTCCCAGAGCTGTGCCCCAAAGCACCCGCCGGCAGCTCATGCTAGCTGGGCACAGCAGGGTCCACACCGGCCTGAATAGGCAGCCAAGCGTTCCCCTGGCTCTGCTGACACACAGCAAACTGACAACACACACACGGCCAAAAACACACGCTCACACCAGCACTCAGCTGCTGCTCCACATGCACACACACAAACCTGCACACACGAACATACGTGTAGAAACACACACGCATAAAACACCAGGTAGACTCAGCTTCAAACAAAAAACAACGGCGTAAAATACACTGATGAAAACAAGCAAAACCTAAATATCAGAGATTATGCGCTTTTTACACACTCATATTTGTCTAAAAATAAACTCTGAAATTATGTTTGGATCCTGATTAATGTTGATTTGTTTTTACGCATCTATAAATGAAACAAAAAAAAGTAAATTATGTTTTTCTAGTTAGAATCTGCTGATTAGCTACAATGCATGTTTTTACAGCATTCAATACCACCGGTGAAACAAGCAAAGGTAAACAAATAAAATTAAAAAAAATCCTCATATTTTAAAGTATTCAAGAGAGTTTCAAGGAGTGCAATTTTTATAGAGACAAAAAAAAATTGTAGGATTTATCCATGACGGCAGATTTGTTCAAAAGTGGAAACGGCAGTGTGAAATTTCACAATTACTCAAGTCTCACTCTCACAATCACCATAACATTTTACAAGCAAGCCGATTTTTCTTTAAGTAATAAAATCTATCTGGTTATGGTTGTTCACTGACTGATGTAAATTTCACATCCATGGTAATATCTCTGTAATAGCCTATTCATTCGAAGGAAACAAGTGCTCAGCTTCCACCAGAGAGAGGGTAAACGCCTAATAAAAACGAGACGGGAGCAGAGCAGGCAGCTGCTCTGAGCCTCAGATATACCTTAATAACCTTAACCACATTCTAGCCACAAAAGATTACTAAAGACACGTGCTGAATAAATACTGAATCTGAAGGGATGGATTTTTATGGCCAAATCTCTCACTCAGAGTAGAGTTTATGTTTATTTGGTGTCTGCACACACACACACACACACTCACACACACTCTGAAGCCGTTTCACAGACACAGCCAGAAACGATTTACAGAGATGAGTAGAGCTTGAATGCCATGAAGGCAGGGAGCACGGCGCACAGCTCCACTTGTCTGGATGACACCAATGTGTCTGGGAGCTGACGGCCTGACACGGGTTTACATGTCAGACCGCACACACACCTCCAAACACACACACTCTGCACGCCCCAAGAAACACAGGGAGGTAAACAAAGGCTGCTTGGAGACTGTTTTTCTAACTAGCTCGGTATTAATTGTTATTAAATTTTAAAACTCCTTCTAAAAGCAGCAGCACAGTTATAATTTCAATCACCTTTGGGGCTGAATGTAAGAAAAGAAATTAGGCTACGTTTAAAAAGAGAAGAGAAAAATTCAGCGTGTTGGTGCGAGGTCCTGCCGTCACAATGATTTCCCAGGCCTCGGCGTCTCATACGGCGGGCCTGTGCCCTTTTCTATCCGGAGCCCTATACAGCCATGACGACACTTCACCTTTGACCTCAGGCTCCCGAGGGCACGACCCCGTCCTCTCCGAGCACAAACCAAACCAATCAGATGGCTTCGCTCCCTGACAAAAACACCCGAAGGCTTTCGCTCCTGTGACAGTGTGTGACATCAGGTCAGACTCCTCTCGCATCACAACTCCCGCTCTGCTCCTCCTGCGCGGGGCTCTGTCAGCACAAAACAGCCGCCACAAAGCAGGAGGAGAAATTCTGATTTTAAACCCCAAGTTTTTTTTAAAAAAGAAGATAACAGGCAGAATGCACCCACAGGATGTTTCCCTGAATGAAACGTTGTATTTTAAGATTCTCACTAAGGACACGCAGCTCCGTGTCAAAAATCACAGTTAGGTTAATTAAGACTGACACAAAAATTACTATTAAACTTTAAGAATGATCACAAGAGACACCAAGTGCATTGTCCTGGGTATCCACGCCTCGGGGAAGATGTTAGAGGGGGGGCATGTGAGGCTCCCCTGCATCCCCCACACTCCCAACTCAACCCAAGTGCCTTAGCATGACCTTTCCCTTAGAGCGGAGAGGATAACTGCAGGGAGTGGGGGGGACACATTTCTCAGGCAAGGGCACAGAGGTTATTTTGGTTTGAATTTCCTCTCTGTTCTCTGCCCTGCAACACGAAGTGGGGGGGAGAAAAGGAAAAAGAAAAACCTGCCCAGGCAGGCACTGCCCCCAGCATTTGTTACCTTCACTCCAGAAACACACTCATTCCCATCCCCTAAAACTCATAGCCTCACACACAAACACACACACACCTCCCCCTTCGGCCACAATAAGTGCTTCCAGACACAAATCAGAACATGGGAAGTGATTTAGTGCCTCCTACATAACTCACAGCCATGTCCAGGACCTGTCCAGCATGTCATCCAAGTCAGTGACATATTGATCTACGTCAGTGTCTCGGTGTTGTTTCTGCTCATGCCTGCGTGCTGTGTTCACAGTCTGCACCCGCTCGCAGAAGATCAACCACGCAGGAACATATGAAATGTTGTGGAGTTTTGAAAAACAAAATACACGATTGTATAAAAAAATCATGATCCGGGTAATTTTTGTATTGTGATTATAAAAGCACACGAATTAGTTTTAAATGTTAAGTAAAACGTATACAGGTATGTACTTAAAACTCCATCAAGCAGCATGAAAATGAAGGCAGATTTGATAAAAATGTATTATTTTCTCTTCTATAAAGGCAAATGGCGGCTGTTGCCCATTTACTTGTGAGCGAGACTGAAAAAACAGCTTCCCTCCGTCTCTCTTGCCTACGCTCGCGCTCCATCAGTCTCTGCTTCTGTCTCCCAGAAGAAACACCTCCAATGTCATAACTCATTTGTCAGTTCCTCAATACAAATTAAACTGCGCCTGACGACTACCTGTACGGCAAATAACATAACCGCTGCTGGCAGCACGACAACATCCACGCCTTGGAAAAACTGAAAACGCACACACACCTTTTTAAGAGCAGCTCGTCTGCTCTGGGATGCTGCTCAGGTGTGCAGTGCCACTTTATGATGGTTGTGGAGGTCACTGTGCATGACAGTGGACGGCTGGCTGCCACATGCATCTGCAGCCAAAGGCTTGGATCTCCTCCTGCACAAATTCAGCGCTCCATTTGCAGCTGCATCCAAGGAGAATATTTACCACATGCTGAGACAAGTTTCATTTTATTCCAGCACCCTTCCCCTGGGAAAAACAAAACACCGGATGAGCTACTATTTTGAAGAGTTGAAGATCCAGCAAAGCAAAAGGCTTGACACCTTCATCTTTTTTTCTCTTCCCCTCACTTGATCAGTCACAGGCGCTCTATTTTTTTTTAAATAGGCTTCCTTTGACTGTCACTTAATGCTCAATGTCGTGCCAAACAAAAAAAAAAAAAGCCAAAAAAACATGTAAACAAACGCACAAATGCTCCCAAACGCCGTCTTAAATTCCAGACACGTTAAGTGCAAGCCAGACGGCGTTTTTTCCCTTTTCAGTCCTGCACCGTTTAAAAGTCAAATAAATACTCTTAAATATTTTCAACACATTGGGATGAAATGTGCACGTTCCACGCAGCGAGACACCTGAGATCCAAGCCAGAAGCTGTGAGCCTGACAGAGTTGAAGTAAATCAAACTTTACGGTCGTCAGCTGACAAACCCAAGCTATCGAGCTGCAGTGCCAACAGTCCAACCCTTTGTCACATATGCACACACACCGACAAAGGTAACATTTTTCATATTTTAAATATATTTACGTTGTTCCTAAATAGGTTTTCGCCAAAGACGACAAAAATGTGTTGCAAGAACGATTTTTGTCTTGCATTTCTTTTGAATTTCTGTCAAACATAAAAGTCCACTTCCAGTTGTTGCTGCTGGCTAATTTACAACTTTAGGAAAACAATAAAACATGCGCTAATTGCTATGATTATCATAATGATAACTGCTGTGCAGGCGTATGGGTGAAACGGCTTGTTGTGATGGGTGTTGTTGCAGAAGTCAATATGAAACACCTTGTAATGACAGGTAAAGAACATAAACCGCCCCGGGCTGTTTTTACTACATTCATGCATGTGTCAATCACTCGCTTCTCTTTTTTTTTTTTTTAAGATAGAAAGGGAAACAGAAATTACTGGTGTGATTGGTGGGGTTGTTGTCGCGCTGAAATGTCAAAGCCGGGGTAGTCTCACAGGACTGCTCTCCACGGTGGAATATCAATACGGCTGCACGTGCGCTTTTGAGTAAAGTGTGATAAGATGTGAGCTCCTTCGTTTCAAAGCCGTCAACGTTGGAGCAACAGAGGTTTTAGTTATTATTAGAGCTGTTTTCAGGCCTGATCAGCTGGGTGCCAAAAGTGAAACTAGTCCACAAGGTCAGCTGTGAAGTGCTTTAACGGCACTGATGGAAAAAGAAAGAAAGGCACACAAACGTGTGACAACAAACGCAAGAAGAAGTAAAAATAAAACAAACTGAATCATTTCCCTCCGCTGCTATTGTCTGTTATCAAGGCTGAGCATGTGGTTCCAAATGAACAGTCAGCGCTAAGATACAAAATGAAAAAGGAAGAAAGTTAAAAAAAAAAAAGGTTGTTTTTGTTCGAGACAAATTGAGACGCCCATCATGACAAAGACAGGAGGCCGAATACACGATCCGAGGGATCACCGCCTCATGCATCAGCCTGAACAGGCACAAAGGGACCATAGAAGAAGTGAGCTGGGATGCACTTCCTGAAAGCTCAGCTGAACTTTTATCAGCTAGTTGTTGACACTTTAAACATTCAGAGGAAGTTATTGAACACTTGCAGCCTGTCTTATTTTTATCGCAGCGAGCAGCAAAGATGAGCAAACCCGTCAGTAAAATCATCCGTTGTTTCACGTCTTTTCAGTGAAGCTTGCAATAAAGCACCAGCCTATAGGAACCAAGATGACCTTTGACCCCTCCAGCTTGTTTTCAGTCTCACTGCTATCAACTCATCTGTGCACACTGCGGTATAGTTCTAACACTGAGCAAAAATTATTTATAAAAACAACACAATTGTTCACACAATTAAAAACATTTAATCGTAAGTTAAAAGCAAAGTTTACAGCAACGATTTAGGTGAAAAAGCCCAAAAAGTGATACAAAAAATTAATTAAGTTCTATTTTTCAGCTAAATGTTTGTGTAAATTAAATTTTCTTATATTCTAATATTAATAACCAGAAATACGTTTATGATTTACAAAAATCTAAAATACTCTGCACTCGTGGAAGAGCAAAACGGCCAAATATATACATTTTAGAAGTGTGTGCTCATCTAGCACTGTATTTATTCAACTTGCATAAAAAAATATATATATATATATATTTTATATATATATATATATATATATATATCTTTAACTTTAACCAGCAGAAATATTTATGTATATTACGCTGGCTGATGTTTCAGCGGATGATGAGGATGCTGATGACAAAATGTTACTTAAAATGACTAAAAGTGGCACTATAAAGTCATCTGTCTGAACAATTACACAAATTAATATTGCATTTATTAGAACGATCTCCCTCTTAACAAGTAATATTTTATTAAGGCTAATAGGCTAAAGAGCGGTCCTGATTTATTTGAAATTAGTGTCACTGCATTTCCCCGCCTGTGGCAGATTTTTGTTTACAAGATTGACGACTTGCAGCTCGACTGAGTGGTCGAAGAGAACATTTTTTTGCGGTGAGAAAAAGTCTTTGGGATGTTATCTTTGGGAGCTTACACTGTGGGCTATGACTTATCTAAAATTATTATGTTATTTTGCTCCCCCTCCGTGTAGCCTACGCATCAGATTCAATCTCCAAAAGCCCCCCCTCCCCTTCAAAACACAGCTCAGGCTCCTTTTTTTTTTCTTTCTTCATCTTTGCTGTCTGAGGCACTCAAATGAGAAACTGTCAGGAGCTGTGATTTGTGCTAACTAGCTATCGATCGCTTCAGTGCTGCATGCCTGGAGTCCATGCAGGGAGGGCTGGGAGAGGAGGAGGAGAAGGAGGAGGAGGAGGAGAGGAGAGATGAGGAAAAATCAAGACTCACTACAGTTTTTTTTTTTTTTTTTGAATGCTAGTGGAGTTTTCTTATTTTAATTTCTAATGTAAAAGATGCAAAATACAGCAGAGTCAACGTGGCTAACTTCTAATTATGGAATTTAAAACTGAAAATCAAATTAAATATTATGAAAGCCATTATCTTTAAATATCCAGCTTTTGATCCCTTTAGTGGAAAACTAATAATGATTGTTTGCATTGCTCCTTTATAACTGAACAGTGCTAGATGAGCACACACTGAACGGTGAGCTACATGGATCACTGGGTGTAATAGGAGAACCCGACACCCTCTCTCTGCACGTTTCACACTAACGACGTGCACGGACGCGATGCGCGCTCCCGACATTGCTCAGAACAAAGAGGCGCAGGAGGAGCGAGATGCACAAATACTCACCATCTACATATCCACACGCTGCTAACATTAAAGAATATGTTAAATTATATAATTAGAATACGGGAAATTATTATTATCATTATCATTATATTATAATAATAAAAATTATTATTATTATTATTGCTGCCATTAACGTGTTGCAAATTAAATAAAATTATCCAAACACTTGCCTCTACAATTTACAATTAATATCTGTTCTAAGGAAAAACCTGCTTCTGTGCCTTTCAATTTTTTTATATTTAGAAATTATGTAAATCTCTTTAAAATAATCTTAAAAGTAATATTAAAAATAAGATGCATTAAAAAATATCTGAATGAGTTGCTTTGACGTCAAACAATTATTTAACAAATGAAATCAAACCTATTGAACCACTGGACATCAGAATAGATCAGAATAAATATTTGTGTCCGTTTACCAATTCTAAAAGAAGTGCATGGCAGTAATTTCCCCACAATCAGTAATCCAAGATATCCTGTCAGGGAGATTTAAAAATCAATCCATTCTGACCAGCTCGGCATTATCTCATGATAATGACAAAAACAAACACGTAATAAGAAGGAGAGGGGAACCCTGCTGTGCACACGCATCTCCTCACAAAGCTATTAATCTTCTCAATGTAGTTGTTCACCCTGAAAACTGAGATAAAGAGCCACAGGAAATGTTTACTTTTCTTCAGCTTTTTTTTTTTTAATGTTTTTTTCCCTGTAAACTCAAAAAAAATAATTCAAATGCAATTCATGTCATTAAAATTGCACTTTTTCTTACTACCTTAAATTTACAAAGTAAAAATCCACATATTTCTTTATAAAATCTTAAATTGTGCACACACCATTTTTGATCGTTTTAAAGTTAGAAGTGACAAAGAAACTAAGAGATGGTCCCTGCTTCCACAATATGAACAAATGTTTCTATCTGACAACTTTCACCTGCACATTCTATATTTTAACATACTTTTACTTCAATTCAGATCAAATAAGCTGCATTTTTGTGAATCTAAATGTTCTAACTTTGGGAGAAACATTGATGGAAACTTAGTTGCATGTGAAAAATGGAGAAAATGAAAAGTAAAAAAAAAAAAAAAAAAGAGTGAGATGCCATTTACCTTCCTTATTGTTGTTTTGGCTTTTATTTTTTTCCCAGGGTCCCATGGCCTTGTCATCCTCTGACCCATCCATCATGGCCTTGTCACCGGGCACGTACCAGGTGGCGTGCTGCTCTGCCATGAGGGCGTCAAGGTCAATAGTGCCCATTGAGCCCTTCCCAGCATCCGGGCTGCAGCTTGCCAGCTCATTGTCTCCGTTCTGCGAGGGACAATCGCCGCTCTTTTTGCCATTCTTCATGGCCAGGGGCTGGTCTTCTGAGATACTGAACTGCTGCCGCTGTAGCTGGATCTGGGCCTGAAGAATCTCTAAAGGGTGGATTTCTTCCTGGCCTGAGGTGCTGGATGGAGTGCGTACCTGCTCCACCCCAGGAGTGCCCGGGTGGCTCACCCCACTGGCCCCGGTGCCCACACCAGCATTCAGTCCATAGCTGTCTGGTGTCGAGGTAGTATGATTGTTAATGCCCATGCCAAGGGGCTTTTGTCCATTAATTAAACCATGATCACTCCTCTGCATTTTAGGTGAACCTGTGATCATGGGGCTGCGATTGGGCTTAGTGGCAGAGGCCCCCCCTGCATCTGAGCTGGATGACACCTCATCCTCGTTGCCGTAGTGAGTGCTGACATCGTCAGGAAAGTCCACTCTTGGTGAGCTGCTGTCAGACTTGGCAGCAACACTTTGAATGCCACTGTCTAAAGAAGACATAAGGTCAGCCTGGTCCCCCAACATTAGGTCTCCTCCTTTTCCCCAAGAGGGTGACTGGAGGTGCTTCTCATGGGGCGTGCCCCCACCCCTCTCCCCAATGCCAGCAGTGGGGGTCTGCTGGCCTGGACTTACAACAGGGTTACCATTATCAGAGGAAAAAAAAATTCCAGGGCTTACATGTCCACTGTCTCTTTTTCTCCTCCCTCTCCCTCTCCCACTCCCTGTTGTTGCCTTCCCCTCACTGCACGGGGTAGCGTCCATGTTGTAGTTTGGGGAGAGGGCACTGGCTTCCCCCTGCACCGTCTGGCTTTGACTTACAGGTTTAGAGTTGCTATTCCCGGTGCCAGGCATCTGGTTGTTCTGGGAAGAGCTGCTCTGAAAATACTCAGGACCAGCACCACCAGTCCCATTAGATGTGCTGCTATTAATGTCCTGTTCTGTCTGACTTAGTTTGCGCTTGCCCTCATTTTGGTTCTTCTTGTTGAATGTTACATTAAGGTTTGGGGCCCCTAGGCTTGCAATCATGTTCTGGCAGGCTGTGGACAGAGCTGCTAGACAGCTCTGGCCGAAAACACTGTCTTTAGAGCTGGTTTTGTTGAAGTTCCCAAGAGAAAGAGCTCCAAGCTTACTAACAGACGACCGCTGGCCTGAGGGGAACTCAGACTGAGGAGGGTAGCTCCCTGGTGAGGTGTTCACCCCCTGGGAAGCATTGTGTGCTGGCCCCTGGCGGTTAGCCCCCCCATATGAAAATGCTGGCTGTGCTCCCATTGGAGGTGCAGGAAAGTCAGATGGCCTCCTTTCTGCTGGTGCATTTGGGTGTCCCGCTCCTGCTCCTGGAGACTGCATTTGTGAGAGGTTGCCCATGTTGCCACTGAACTGTGAGTGCATGCCTGGAGAATGAAGGGTCTGCACATGTCCATCTCCTGCTATTCTCATGGGATCCTGCATGCCAATGCCTTGCCTAAACACCATCCCAGCCCCATTCTGCTGAAGCCCTATATCGTTAGGCCCAGGTTCATTACCTGCTCCACCCAAACGCCGTGACATCATCTCTCCTGGTGGGTGGGACCCCTGAAACCAGGAGTTCTCCTGAGGTACATGAGGATTTTGTCCATCAATGTTGGGCATCCTGCCACCATTTTCCCTGTCAAAGTTTGGCTGAGGCATGTTCCCAACTGGACCTCCATGAGTCATTGGGCCAGGAGGTACATCACCATGGTGACCCAACTGCTGGAGACTGGGCTGTCTCATCCTCTGCTGCTGGTTGCGAGAGGCCATCTGTTTAATCATCATGGCTGCATTCTGGCGCTGCTGCAGAGACTGTGGCTCGGGCCCTGGATGCTGCAGGGGACCTGGTGCAAAACCTTCATTCACAGGTGGGGTGAATTCTCCAGGGAGACCAGAGTAAGCAGAGGGAGAGAGGTGGTTATCCATGCTGCCACACCAGCCATCGCCGCTGTGTGAGTTAGGAAAATCAAACCGAGGCCTTTTTGCCATGTTCATGTATGGAGAGTCAAAGTGTTGCAGTCTCTGATTTGGGGGCTGCTGGGAGGGAGGAGGAGCTGGCTGTTGCATATTAAACATGGGGTCCCCATAGGGGTGCAAACCCCTATTTTCCAGTCTGTGAATGGGATATTCAAACTGGTTGTGTTGGCCAGGAATCATGACCCCTCCATCTAGAATGTTGGGGTTAGTGTTGCTGGGCTCAGCCTGAGGGGGTCGGGGTAGGCCAGGGGGGCACGAGTTCTGTCTGGCTATCAAACCAGCCTGTTGTTGCTGCGGCATGAGAGGATGTCTTGTATTGACCCCCGGCTCCATTCCCACGGGCACCTTCCGGCCATTTCCAAAACGCTCAAAAAACACTCCATGTTGTGGCTGCTGAGGCTGTGGCGGCTGGTGTGACTTAGAAATGACCGGCATACCCGGTGTCCGTGGCATGCCAGGGTTCCCTGGGAAACTTCCACTGGGTACAGGCCTTCCGGGCCCAAAGTGTGGTATTTGGGATTCTGAATCTGATGGGGAAAATACTGGTACATCAAAATGTCCTGATGGAGGCTCACTTGGGAAGTTATACTCTAATCCCTCCACAGCTCCTTGGTTGGGCATCCGTCGAGGCTCCAGACCATGAGACTCAGATGAGGTGGAAGAGGAAGATGGAAGACCATGGAACGATGCTGCTCTGTTGGGTGACTGGTCCAGGGGCAGACATGGAGCAGGGACAGCATGGTTGCCACTGGGAGGCCCATGATGTTGAAAGTCTGGTATGTTACTCTGCCGCTGCTGCTGCTGTTGCTGTGGAAAACCATCTCCTGCTTGTCCCTCTGCAAGAGGATCAAATCCTTCTCCAAAACCCTGCTGAGGTCCCATGCCATTGTTGTTGTAGCCCATTAGCCTGCCACCATGCAGGCATGATGACCCTGACTCTGGGGCTCCAAAGTTCCCACTGAAATGAGGGTGATGTTGGTGGGGGTGAGGTTGATGGCCATGTTGATGAGGTTGCTGGTTGTTAAAAAATCCATGCATCGGTCCTTGCTGTTGCTGCTGAAGTCCACCACCTCCATGCATTTCTGGGTGTCCCCGCGGGTGAAAGTTCCCATAAGGCTCCCCGTTCATGTTCATATTGAGCCCGAGCATTTGTGACTCGTTCATGGGGCCCATGCCAGGGTCCACGGCTCCGGGCGGGCCTCCAGCATGAAAACTTGGGCTTTTATAATGGGAGCCCATGTTAAGTCTCTGATGGTTTATGTTTCTCTCTGACTGGCCAGGGTTTCTGCTATTAATTTGAGAACCAAACTGCTCCAGCCCAAACATACTCCCCTGCAATCAATCCCACATGACGGCCAGTTTGCCAGACATCCGCACACTGTGTATTTTTCCGTCTGTCCACAAAAGAAGGAAAATAAAAATAAATGATACACAGCAAACAGTGTTTATAGTGATTATTTTGATATGTTAACTTTAAACATAAAACTCACCAAATAAGTTCTTATGTCTTGAAATCATTAGAGAGGTTTTGTTTTAACTTCTCCAAGGACGCGCAGCTTAGTGCGGACAGACTGTGTCCAAATACGCACGCAGACTGTGCGTCTGTTTCTGCATGAATGCGTTAAGCAGCTCTTCTGTTTTTTGTTTTTGTTTTTAATTGAAAAAAAAAACGCTTGGGTACAAACTTGCCTTTAAAACGATTTATGATATTCTAAAAAAAAATGTTTACGCGCAAAGCAAAAATGAAAAGCTGGCTAAACTGAAAAAAGAATGCAAAAAGATTCAAAAAGATCAGCTGGAAGCTAAAACAATTAATGTCATCTAATTTATTACTCCAGCTCGACATTAAATGTCCCAAAAAGACTTTTTATATACGGTCCCATGCTGGAAATAATAATAATAATAAAAAAAAGTCAATTTGGATCAAACTGCCTGTGGGTTGAATAAATAGCTACTGATGTCCTTTAAATTCTTGAAATGGGAAGCTGAGCAGACTTCAAACCAAGAGACCAGCGCGCTGGATTAGTCCACACACACAAAAAAAGCACCAGCTCTGAAATCCAGGCACCGGCAGAACCGAGCCTTGAGTTTCTGAGGAGCAGCGCGCGGTGCGCACTGACTACCCGCGCTCCACACGCACCGCGCGGCTTGACAGCATCCTTCCTCCACCCCGCCGCTCCGTGCTCTCCTTTACTTCTCTTTTTCTTTAACTCCTTTCCGTGCGCTCCGCTCCTGACGCGTGCGTCCTCCTTTCTCACCGCTGCTGGTCTGAGCGCGCACAGATCCACTCTCGCACTCCGCTCTGCCGCTTGGCGCTGTGTGAGATCAACGCCTCCGGAGGAGCAGCCAGCAACAAGTTTTGCATTTCTGCAGCCACTTCCATGCAGGAGGCCTCAGCCAATCACAGAGCCCCGTGGAAGCTTCGGGGGCGGGACGAGCGCAGTTAAGGTGGTCCGCGAGTCTATGAGATTATAAACTCCTGTGCGCGCGGAGGAGAGATTTATACCTGTCAGAGCTTTCACTTGAAAAGTGATGTTCTGAAGCACATTTGAACTAGATGTAGACTAATTTCTGAGATAAAAGAACACATTGTATCTAGTAATAGACAGTGTTCTGCAAAGTTGGGGTCAGGGCGTGCGTCGAGGAACATCAAATCATGACATCATGAAGAAATCTATTAAAATATTATCATCTTTTAAATGATTGCCAGCAGTATATTTAGCCTTAACTGTTTTAAAGGTTAAAAAAGGGGGGCCATAAAAAATAATGCATTGATCATGAGGCTATTTGTTAAATGAGTTATGAGCAGAATGAGTTTAAGTTGGGGGGGGGGGGGGTCACCTGCAACTTCTATTTTGTGGGTGAAAGCGGAAGTTTGGGAACCTCTGATCCTCTAACTTCTTTTATAACTGACTCTTACCTGTTTCATCTTCACTCAGCATGTTTCCAGAGAAGAAAAAGAAGTTAATAATAAGATAGACACACAAACAGTATGCAACAGTAACTGCAGTATGTATGTATATATATATATATATATATATATATATATATATATATATATATATAATTCTTTGGCTTAAACTGAAGCAGCACATTTGAATTTTTAAATCTTAGAAATAAGATAAAGAGTCATAGCCTGTCATCTTAATCAGAACTCTTAAAAGCAGTTTGAGCAGATCGGATTTCTAAAAGATAAACCAAGACATGTGGCTCAGTCAGAAAAGAAGAGCTGATGAAGGCAACCCCCCACCATCCCCAAGACTTTTATGCGCCAATCAAAACCCCTCCAGTCTGCTCTGTTAAACGAAGTCCCAGCGGAGGGAAGGAAGAAGAAGAAAATCCTCCTTAAAAGACCAGAAGTAAGTCATGGATGATACTTGGGTTTCAATAATCAATAGTATTCTGTTACTATTATAATAAAGGCCCTTCACACGACCAGATGAGGAGAAGTTATTTCAGGGGTTAATTAGGTGTGGGCATGAAATGGCAGAGGTTATCTGTGGAAGGTTAAGTGGTTCCCAATCCTAAAGATAAGACATGAAATATATGAAAAGAACAAGGTGCAGTAAAGTTAAACGCAGCTAGAGTTTTTTATTCTTCCATGTTTCTTTATTTCCCACAAACAACTTTCTTTAATTCATCTGAGTTTCTGAGCTCTCCTTAACTTTGTTCTTCCTTGTGTTTTTTTTCCCCCACTTATTTTTATTTATTCATTTAGTTTTGATTATGAGCTGCCTAACAACATTAACTAGTAATGCTACTAATTACAGCATTTAAAAAAAATTGAACATTAAAAAATGTTTCCCTTGAATTTATGAGCGCATTGAATCCTGGCAACGAAGAGAACTCCGATTATTAGAAATAAAGAAAAACATATTTTATTGCTGGGAACAAAAACATCAGCTACTTTCATTGATCTCTTTGAATATCTACTTTGAGAAGAGGAGAAAACCATCTCATCCTTTCCCTGCTCTGTGAAGAACAGGAGGAGGAGGATTCTGTGACAACCAGCACTGTGCCCCTTTTAGAGAGGGGGGGGGGGGATAAGAAGAGCTTTTACCAAACGGACACAGTGCCCCCTAGCGGCTGTCTTCACTGCCAGTCCCTGCTGAAGCTTTGAGAATACAACTGTACACAAGAGGTCTGGATCACAACTAAAAGCTCAATAATATTTTAAAATAATGTAAAATCTTAAAAAAACAAAAAACAAAGTGGCAGCAGAAAAAATAAGCCAAATACAAATTTGAGTAATTTAATATAACCGAAACATAAACCACAGCATTATATTGTTTTTTAGCTGTTCTGGGTCAGATTTGGTGTTGCAATCTCCAAATCTGTACACTTGTTGACCATCACATTACAGATGATCCACAGCACAAATGATGCTCGTTTTAACCTTAAAAACAACTATGTGTGGTGCAAACAGATGTTTATCTCCCTCCCCCCAGAAGCACACCATGTGTCCAGCCCTGCATCCAGAGACTGTGGGCCGAGGATGAGCCAGAATTGTCCCATCGGGACAAGACACAGAAATGCACTTCTTCCACGTGAGAGGACAGAAGCTCTGCGAGTGAGGAGGCGGGGCGGCTTGTGTTGTGGAAGAGATGGAGTAAAGTGGAGAAGAGGAAACATGTCAAGTTGCTTCGAATGCGCTAAAGGCTGTTGTGCTTGTGCACACTGAAACAGAGCCACACGGTCCAGTATCACTTGTCTGATGGAGCACCTGGAAAATATCTAAGTTTTTGGTTTTTTTTGCTTGGGCATCATTAAAATGGACGCATATCACAAGAATTCCCATTTAATCTCAGTTACTGGTAACAAAGGTTATCTATATTTAAAAAATAAAGCTCTATTAACCACAGTAAAAGCACGCAACGTGCAGCTCAACAGGATGAAAAAGAAGTCATGATATTGCTCTACTTAGCTGTAATTCTAATCCTGCAGTGAGCTTCCTGCTAGCTGCTGTCTTCTCCAATATAGAACCAGTATGACAAACCCGCAGTATGGTGTCTTCCCTTCAGTCTCCAGTGATGATAAATGCAGCTCACAGTGGCTGCAGCTGAGGAGACTTCATGACAATGGACAATCTGCGAGCTTTCCAGCACTGTCACATTACCAGCCTTCTCTGGAGTGATTTAGCACTCGGATTGTCTTAATATTTTACTCAACAGGACAAAGTAGCAGAAGTGGGCTCCTTCTTTTACCCTTAATTCACATCGTTAGGCTTTGCCTCAGCTAGACATATATTATAGTGGGGGGTTGCCCAAAGAGACAGTTCCTTTCCTTGTTCAGGGGGTGGGGGAGTGGGGGGGTACAGCATCATGGCAGAGTTGAGGAGAGCCTCGGTGTGTCCTGTATAGACCTGTCAATCATCTGAGCCATCACAACTCCCCGGGTCAGGGCAGGTTAAGCAGCATCTGTCATCCAGAGAAGCACTATTGTATTTAGGAGGAGGGGATGCAACAGAACCTCTCTCTCTCTCTCACACACACACACGCACACACGCACGCACACACACGCACGCACGCACGCGCGCACGCACACACACACACACACACACACACACACACACACACACGCAACAGGAAAGATTCAGGAGAATCTCTGGAGCTAAATTTGACACGAGCCCGGAGGATGAGGAAACGCTGGTGACATCAGTGCCAACCCTGACAGAACAGAAATAACTCCCCCATCTAAGAAGACCTGCAGCCCCTCGTGCAAATGTGGCACCGGAGGACAGGGCCATATACATACACTCATCCAAATATATACACATATATCAAACACATGCATGCACACACATGCACGGTGGTGCTTGAAAGTTTGTTAAGTCTTTTTAATTTTCTATGTTTCTGCATAAATCTGACCTAAAACATCATCAGATTTTCACACAAGTCCTAAAAGGAGATAAAGAGAACCCAGTTAAACAAATGAAACAAAAATATTATACTTGGTCATTTATTTAATGAGGAAAATAATCCAATATGACATATTTGTGTCAAAAGTATGTGAAACTTTGTTATTAGTATGTGGTGTGAGATGCAGCAAAACAGGCCCAAACCATGAAACTACCACCACCATGTTTCACAGATGGGATAACATTCTTAAACAGGAATTCAGAGTTTTCCTTTCTCCAAACATAACACTTTTAATTTAAACCAAAAAAGTTCTATTTTGGTCTCGTCCGTCCACAAAACATTCTTCCAACAGTTTTCTGGTTTGTCCACGTGATCTTTAACAAACTGCAACGAGCAGCGATGTTCTTCTTGGAGAGCAGCGTCTTCCTCCCTCAAACCTACCATGCACACCATTGTTGTTCAGTGTTCTCCTGATGGTGGACTCATGAACATCAACATCAGTCAATGTGAGAGAGATCTTCAGTTGCTTAGAAGTTACTGTGCGCCGACTATTCCACGCCTTGTTCTTGTAGTGATCTTTGTTGGTCGACCACTCCTGGGGAGGGTAAGTCTTGAATTACCTCCATTTCTATACAATCTGTCTGACTGTGGATTGGTGGAGTCCAAACTCTTTAGTCACTTTTTCTCATGTTTTCAGAAATCTCCTTTGTTCGTGCCATGATCCACTTCCACAGACATGTTGTGAGGAGCACTTTGATAGATCCCTGTTCTTTAAATCAAACAGGGTGCCCACTCACACCTGATCATCATCCCATTGATTGAAAACAC